CAAACTAGGTAACATCATTAGTGCTAGAAAGGGGGAGGAGGAGGAGGAGGAGGAGGAGGAGGAGGAGGAGGAGGAGAACCCTTGGTACTCTCTGAGTTCTCTAGTACTAGTGACTAGAACTGATGTGGTTAACTAGTTTGGGTAATGAAACATCTGCAAGAAAACCACCAAGCTCAGAGAGCGCCAGGGAGCCCTGTTTTTAACCCTGGGCTACAAATATTCTCCTTTATTGCTATCAGGAACTATAAACAGACTTTGTACTTGAAAATAATAACAACAGCAACAACTAGAATTCAAACAGACAAGCACTTGCCATCTGACACCCCAGATTTAACCATTGTCAATAAGAAAGACCCCCCCCCCCCCAAAAAAAAAATTCTGGATAGCGGTTCTGGCAATGCCTGGAGACAGCAAAATAGAAGAGAGGAACTCTTGAAATTATAAAGTCAAAGTGGGAGCAAGGAGAGGGCTGAGAATTCTCTTGTTAAGATGCCAAAGGAAAGAGTGACTTTTGTGATTCTTCTGTTAAGAAGAAATAAAAGTCCAATTTGCCTTGGCATTTTTATGCCTTTATATCTCCCGATTTCTAGGGGTTTTTAAAAAGTTTTTTTTTAAGTGTCTTTTCTTCCCACACTGAGATTTCCATTCTTCTATTTCCTCATTTGTTGCTAAATTTATGTTCCCCCTTTTGCTCTAGTTCTTCCCCCTTCCAATTTTTCTCATAATGACCCTTGGCTGAGTGAGTGGTCCCAAATCCATTGATTTTCCAAGGACTTGAACCCAAGAAAGCCCCTTTACCTATCATATCGCACCATCTCTCCCATTTACTGGAAGAGAATCACACTAAACACGATCAGGCCTATTTCTGAGTAGAGACAAATATGTTTGCACTATTAACGGCTGACCTGCTGTGTTTTTAAAGCTTGTGATCATTCCTTCTGTCCCTAAGTGGTCACAGAGCTGTTTGGGATATTTCATTTTCAGAGGAAGGAAAGACCAAATGCAGGCACGAAATATCTGTTTCCTTGTTTCCATCTGGTGTGGCAAATAGATCAAGGGAAAACGGCAGCCTTACCTCCACCATGGTTTGGTTGCCCCTCAATGCCAACAACATGCAAGGCCCCAGTTTGTTCTCAGCCAAGGAAAGCAGAAACTTTTTTGTCTTGTAGCAGGAGCCCATTAAAATGTGAACCTGCAGGAGAAAGAGAGAGATAAGAGAAAGAGACACACAAACACACACAATTCAGGAAACATCTTTTGGCCCTTCTTCCAAAGTAGCCAGGAAGGCGAATGGCCAAATCTCGCAAGAGCATTTTAACTCCAGTCCAACTTCCCTAAATTATTGTCTTCCAGATATGTGGAATTATCTATTGCTCTCAACTCAGCATGAGATGATAAGTGTTGGAGTTACAACTTTGGAAAATAATTTAAGGAAGGGATGCTCCAAGTTAAAAATTCTAGTTTTCTGATTCGATTTGGCAATAGCACTTATATACCGCTTCACAGCCATCTTTAAGTGATTTATAGAGTCACCATATTGTCCCCAACAATCTGGGTCCTCATTTTACAGACCTCAGAAGGATGGAAGACTGCCAACATTTTAAAACATCTGGAGCCGGTCAGGATCGAACTCCTGGCAGTGAGCAGTGAATTAGCCTGCAATACTGCACTCTAACCACTGCGCCACTGTGGCTCTTGTTTTATCTCTAAGAAAATAAGTAAACAGATATACATTCTTAAAACAAAAGCCAACTTGCTTCTCTTTTCAATTTCTTGTGACTTTCAATCTTAAGAGATTCTTTGTTCATTCCTTTATCTAGTTCAGTTACCCAACTTCTGCTCTGGTTCTAAAAGGACCAAAACCTTTTTTCTCCAGCTCAGAGGTGGGAAGTCTGTGTCTGTACGTAATCTGGAGTATGTATCTCTCCTTTGTGAGGATGTAGACATTAGACAGGAGATGAGTGAAGGGTATCCTATATCTAGCACGAGAGCAGTAAGTTTAGTATATTGTGAATGCAACCAGACCGTAATAGTAAGTGGGAATGGCCTTGGGAGACAGGGGGAAGAACCACGATAGGACAAAAGGCAACTTAGCCCACAAAATGAATGGGAGCAGGCAAACATTTCAGGAGGGACCCTCCCTACTTTCTTGAGCTGTACAGGGGGTGGGTGAGGGAAGAGATGTACTTTCAAGTTTCTGTCAATGTAGCTTTACAATAAAATAGAATTAGCCCATCTGATTGTGTTTCCTATCTGGGCCACCTTGCAAAAGTGACAACATGAGAGCAAAAAAGACTGTGAAGAACTGGCACATACCATACTGGCAAACAGTTCCCCATCATCATCACATGCCACACCACCAGGGCTGTAGAGCTGGAACCAGCCGTCCTTGCCGGCCCGCACGCTCAGCAAACAGGAATGGACCTGGTAGAAGAAAGACACATGAGAAGGTGGTCTTCAAAATAATTCTGCAGAGAAAGAAGAGAAATGGAGACCTCTGGTGCTCTAGGTGCTGCTCAACTCCTGCTCCTCCTGGTTGAGCGTGCTGACGGAGCCACTAGGAGCTACAGTACAAGATGCCCCAACCTTGCAGAAGAGACATTCCTTCTCATTGGAAGGGTACCCAGCTCAGCAATAAAACACATTCTTCCTTGCACCTCATTAGGCACCAGGTGTTCCATTGGAACACTTTTCTTCCAGTCTGCAGCAGAGCAAAGAGTCTGCCAAATGGGCCCTCTGATCTGAACCCTGGAGTGGATGGGAAAGAAGGAGAAGAAGACTTTGTCTCCTGCAACTAAAAGTTTTATGTATCTGTTGTAGTTATGCACCCGTTGTAGGCCTTGGATTTCTGAAGAATTTCAGGTTTTCCATCCAGATGTTTTAAAATGTTGGCAGTCTTTCCTGGGTGCTCAACACAAATACCCCCCTTATATTAATCATCCATTCGTCCATCATATCTGTCTGTCTGTCTGTCGTATCTATCTACTGTATCTATCTGACTGTCTGTCTAGCTATATGTCTGTCTATATGTCTATCTATCTATCTATCTATCTATCTATCTATCTATCTATCATCTATCTATCTATCTATCTATCTATCTATCTATCTATCTATCTATCCATCCATCCATCCATCCATCCATCCATCCATCCATCCATCCATCCATCCATCCATCCGCATCTGCAACAAACAGACATAACTGTGTGCATGCCACTGTCACAACAATGAGCATTTCTGTGATGCAAGCAAACGTTCAGTCTTGGCTATTCAGGAAATGAAGGGCATTTATCTGGAGCATTCATTTTGCCCTGCAATTTCCAGATGCAACAATTCTAGCCAAGCTTCCGAGATATCCAAGCCGTGTTTCATGCTGACACAAAAGGCATGCAGTCCTTTATAAGAAGGCAGCAACAGGCTCCAAAAGTCTTTTCAGGAAAAATATCAAAGCCGGGAGTCTGACTTGCATGATGGAACTCCAAGCAATTTATAGCCTGCATGTTTCGCCAAACAACCCGTCTCCCTCTTTTTGTGGTGCTAGGCTGGATGGAAAACTTACTTCTTGCCTTGAGTCTTCTGCAAATCTTTGAATGACGTACTTCAGCTCCCTGGAAACAGACAAAAGGAGAAAAAAAAAGAAAGGGGAAAAAAAAGAGAGAAACAGAAGTATGCAGTTGGTCATCTCCAAATAAATACAGAGTACAGCTGTTGCATTTCATTCTGATTATGTGCTAAGTGAAAAGTTACAAGGAGATGTGGAGGGAATGATTACGTTCTTCTAAAACTGGGGCGTTACACGGTGGGAAAAGGTCTTCTGACAGCCTTGAAACAATCCATGATAGTTAAGGACTTTAATCCTCGGAGATTGGGAAACGGTCTCGCCTGGAGATCCCTACCCCATTCTGCAGCTTCTTCTAGCCAGACAAATTCACAGCTAGAGGCCCCTTGATGCAAGCCAAAGAGGAATTTGGATGCGAGCCAAGGGGGAATTCTGTGTGTGGGAAGGAGGATGTTTGGAATCCTCGACTGGTTTGTCCAGGATGGGATAAGGATTTCTGCCTTGGGTAGGGAGTTGGACAAGAAGACCATCAACGTCCCTTCCAGCCCTATGGTTCCACAATTCCTTGCATGTAGAAAACAAGCATTTCAGTTCAATGGCTAGAACCTCTCTTCCTGACCTGCTGTCAAGCATCAAAGAAACATTATTCTGCTTCAGCCATTGTTGTTTCTTAGCTTGCCTACAGACATGGGGGGGGAGGATGCTTGGGGTGCTCAGTACANATTGTCTGAGGTTTAATTGGGGAATGTGACTTGCACGGTCAGGGGAAAGGGGAGTTTCTATATTTTTCATTTACTGTTCTGGCACCAATGTAACCAGAGCTGGTTTCCTATTCATCAGTGCCAATATGCTGTACTCAATAAAGTTTTGCATTAGAGATTTGAATGTCTCAACTGTGCTTACTTCGTTGGGATCATCAGTCGGAACCTGGACACCTGCTCTAGCTGATTGACAAAGCATCCTTCCATCATCACTTTGAACAGGGGTCTTCAAACTTGGCCCTTTGATGACTTGTGGACTTCAACTCCCAGAATTCCTCAGCCAGGCACGCTGGCTGAGGAATTCTGGGAGTTGAAGTCCACAAGTCATCAAAGGGCCAAGTCTGAAGACCCCTGACTCTGAACATCCTGCTTGGACACATGGGAATGGCTACCAAGAAAGGCTGTTCTTGTCTAATGGCTGGTAGCATAATTTGATCCTACTGAATTGGGAGGGTCAAAATAGTCCAGCTAAGACAATATTACAACCGTCGAGACTGGGTGCTACTGCATCATAAGCTACTGACAGAATGGCCCTTGAGGGAAGTGTGATCCTTTTTTGCGTGGCAGAGAAAGTGCCTGGGTTGTGTTCCTCCACTTTTATGAATGGAGGAGGTGTATTAGGCAGGGGTCTCTTTTAGTCTTTACAACTAAGAGTCTATCGCTTTTGAAACTTCTGTGTTGTAAAAGTGCTGGGTCAACCCAATACTATAGGAGATTATTTCAAGCAAATAAGCACTTACTTTGTGAACTTCTCATGTGCAAGAGCCCTGAAATAAAAACACAGGGTATTAGGCAGGTGTTTTTTCCCCCCAAACACAACAATAATACAAAATCCATAGATCCAATGTAAGTCCAGTTGCCGGGGTGACTCAACTTCCAGGTTATTAGAATGAGCCTCAACTACCAGCTGTAGCAGTCTCTTGACTGCCATCATCTCAGGCAGCCTGTGACCCAAATTGTCCAACTCAACCTCAACTAAATTGAAGTCAATATCATCAAGAGCAAGGCTGGGCAATTTCCGTTCTTTGAATGAACATCTGGGAATCTTGCAAAACGGAACATCTAAAATTGGGCGGCAAGGAAGTATAACCTACAATAGTGCAAGCAAACTACAAGAGCAAGAGGTCGTGCTAATTTTCAATATGAAATGAGTAAGTGCATTACACATCCGGTGTGCCGAATGCACTTAAGAGTTATTTTTTGAAAAAGACATCCTCAAAATTTCCTCTAACGAGGCCGTAGCCTCCCCTATCCTCAACCCATGCAAGACTACTGTATGGAACCCTGGAGGCTTAAAAGGAGTTCATTCATACTTAAGGTACATTGGGAGAAAGAAAAAGCAAAAAAAAAGCTCATGTGTCATCAAAGACGCAAATGGAAATTTCTAGGTCCAGGAGACCAAAACCATGCGTTCGTAAACAGGATTTTCAGCTCCTATTCCAGTCCCAGGTGTGCTTGTTAATTGCACGGCAATTAAGGCCCATTGCCTCTGAATTAACATTAGCAAAGCAATTAATGGTCACTTGCTCAGAGGTCCTTGCATCACATTCTCCCTCTGCCCTGGGGTCCTTGGTTAAAAAAAAAAACCACCCAACTCAGATAAATGACACCCAGGACCTTTCTCCATTTCTCCCTGGTCTTTTAGAAGAACAGCAAGTTGGTGAAAACTAGGGCTTAGCAAGGCACCGGGCTCCCCAGGGAGGGTTAAGCTTGCAAATTGGATGATTATAGGCTGTAATGTTCACCCCACAGAGACATCTTCCTTTCATAAACACTGGTGCCATTAATAGGCTTCAGAGGGACCATCAGCAACTGTTTCTCGCTGGATTCAAACACTATGTTTATGGAATGACATGTGGTTTGATGCTTCTTCTTTCAGCAGGCTGTCTTGTCCTAGCACATCTGCTGAGACAACTGCTTACCTCTTGTTTGATCCCAACAACTGACAATGTTTACTTTTAATTTCAATTTTTGAGAAGTCCCTTTCACCTACATCTGACCCTGGGACTACATTTTTTCCAGATTCAAAGTGGGTCTGGCAACTTTCTCAGTAAGTGATCATCCTTCTGTGAAAGTCTAGGAGGTCCACCCTTCAAATTTCATAAAAACTCATGGGATGATCATGTAAAGTCCTTGTGCAATTATCTCAAGGCTCTAGCCATTGTTTTGCATTTTCAAAACTATTTTAATTTGCAGCTTTTTTTAAAGAGGGGGAAAGGAAAAGGTAAACTGCAACAACCATTTCCTTTGTGGCTGCAGTTTAAATGGTGGGACTCTGTTTTTTGTATTACAAAGGCAAAAAAAACACGTTGATTCAGATGGTTTTATTTGTAGGCAATGCCTTTGCTTCACGATTGGACTTCTCACTATTTTGGTTGCACTGTATAGAATTTTACTGAATTTTTAACAGCCAACAGCCGTTTTGACTGTTCACTAATGTCAGAAGTGGGGATGCCCCAGAATGGCAAAATGTATGTATTTAAAATAAAGAAAGCAAATCTGATCTTATTCTGACTACCTACCATTTTCCTTAATTTACTGACAAATCTCAGTTATAAGCTACGTCTATTAGACTCTTCTATTAAATCTTAGTTAGTCAGTAATTAGTTAGTTCTGACTAATGCAAGCTATCTTCCAGGGAAACAGCAAATGAAACATCCCAAAAACAAAAACTTACTCTTTGGGGAAAGGGATGGGCTGGAGCAAACTGGCCAGAGCAGGTCTCCAATCTTCGTAATCTGACCTGTAATTAGAAAAGCACAATTATCGTATTTTCCGGCGTATAAGACGACTGGGCGTATAAGACGACCCCCAACTTTTCCAGTTAAAATATAGAGTTTGAGCGAGAGAGAGAGAGAGGGGGGAGAGAAAACTTGATGAGTAATATGCCAAACCACATGTGTAAAGGAATAAAATAGAATACCCATATTTTCCGGTGTATAAGACGACTGGGCGTATAAGACGACCCCCCGACTTTTGAGAAGATTTTCAGGGTTTAGAAAGTCGTCTTATACGCCGGAAAATACGGTAGCCTAAAGTCCGTTGTGTTTGTGCATGAGTTTTACCTTGGTCTCTGCCAGCCTTCTTTACCTGATGCCCCAGGATCTACCCAAATGAGGCTCCCAAAAGCTCAACCCTCCTGGTCATTGACCATCCTAGATAGGAATTCTGGAAATTATAGTTTCAGCATCTTAGAGAGTACCTAGAAAAGACTATCCCACTGAAACTTCATTTATTCAACTTCCAATTTTTCAATTGGCCTGATGGGGAAACCCTAATATTCACATATGTCCACCATGTGTTTTATCTGTTAATTTCATTTATTGTTGTTGTTGTTGAACCTGCAAGCTGTCATTTTGTTGTCTTTTGCAAGGAATCAGTGCTGACTTAACACAAACCTGTTACTGTGCATAATCCTCCAATGGAACAAGAGTTGCTGGGATTAGCACAGAAACACAGGCTCCACCTTGCCTGTAAACTGTGCTCAGGAGTCAAAATGCAAATAAAAACGACACTTTTTCATCCTTAATGCTAATATTGGAATTCCATCAGCAGGACTTTATACCTCTTCCAACTCCCAGGAAGAGTGTTAGATTTACTACTATGCTATGTGCATATTTCATAAGATTCCTGCTGATGTTGAGAAGGATACTAGGTGTCCATACACACACATCTGCCCACCCGCACCCTTAACCCAAGAAACTCCTGTGGACCATCTGGAAAGCCATGGGAAAGAGCAACTCACAGCATCTTGAGTATTTCCACAAAGCAGCCGAGGATGCGGTCCGCCTGGGCACTGAGTTCGATGCTAATGCTACTGCAGGTGGGGCTGACCATCAAACAGTCAATCAGGTTGGGCTCGCTGTCGTTGCCAACGCTGGCGGTCATCTTCTGGTTGGCCACGTTGTTGCGCTCCACCTCGACGTGGATCTCGTTGGACGTGACAATGACTGCTTTGAGGCGGGATTCAGCCAACGTTGCCTCCCGGGACATCAGGTCAGGACTGGTGTGGAGAAGCCGAAGTGGCAGATTGGGCTTGCGGTCACAAGGCTGCTGGCAGCCATTCCGAATTTCCTTCAGGCTTGGAGAATTGTCCCGGCTGTTGCAGGGGAAAAAAAAGCAAGTGGGAAAGAATCAATAAGTTGAAGTTGCTAGACATAACAGAAATAGTGGGGAAGAAGCTAGACGGCAACTTCGCAAAGTTTTGCAACATGTCCTCTTTTTTTTTAATCAGTGTGCCTCTCTCTGTGTGTGTTTTTTTTTTTAAATCTTGGCCAGCTGCAATTAAACTGTCCTATTTATACCAAAAGAAAACAAATGTCTCCCCAATGGAATTTGTAATGCAGCCCCCGTTTTTGTGGCAGTCTGTGAACTTGGCCATCCTGGGTAGGAATGCAAGCGTCTCGGCCCGATGATGCAAAACCGTGATGCAATGTTCCTTTCCATAAACAGCCCACCAGGATAGTCAACTCAATTTCCTAAAAAATTGATTAATGGAAGACAAAAACATCTTCCATCTCCATTCTTATCTCCCAAGAACTAACAGCACTCTTCCCTGCACACAAACCTTTAACCTCTTGACAACTACGGATGTATGTGTGTTTGTGTGGCGGAAGATTTTCAGACTACACAGGAACACACATTGCTGCTTTTTTCATAATCACATATCTGCTCCAGCTTGTTCAGTATTGCTGCCTTCAGCAAGGAACAACGGGACCCTTGCCAATAGGTTTCAAATTGCAACCTTCATAAGTTTCGGCAACAATGCTTGTTGGCCAGGAATTCTGGGAACTGTAGTCAAAAATGTCTAGCACAGGGATCCCCAACCACCGGTCCGTGGACCAGTACCAGGTCACGGCCTGCCAGCAACCGGTCCGCACAAACAAGCAAAGCCCCATCCACGGGATGCAGGCAGCACACAAAACCACATACTCTCCAGTCCACGGAAAAACCTCTCTCCACGGAACTGGTCCCTGGTGCCCAAGAGGTTGGGGACCTCTGGTCTAGCAGACATCAGGATGTCTATAGCTTGTCTAGGCTGATTTTCAATCGTTCAATCAGAATAGAGATGGGAGGGACCTTGGAGGTCTTCTAGTCCAACTCCCTGTTCAAGCAGGAGACCCTATACCATTTCAGGCAAATGGCTGGCCAAATGTGATTTATGGGCAGTAAGGCACCCATTCTGGGCTCATCATAATTTCAAATGGTCATTAAACAACCGTTCATAACTCAAAAACTACCTGTAATTTACAACATAAGGATATTTTAAAAAATCGGGACAGATCCTATCTCATCCTATCTTTGGAGATCAGAACAGATCCACAAAGAAGAGGGGGTCAACCTATTTTTCCAAAGCACCAGAAGGTAAGACAAGAAATAAGGGACGGAAACTAATCAAGGAGAGAAGCAACCTAGAACGAAGGAGAAATTTCCCAACAGTGAGAAGAATTAACCAGTGGAACAGCCTGCCTCCAGAAGTTGTGGGTGCTCCATCACTGGGGGGTTTTTAAGGAGAGACTGGACAGCCACTTGTCTGGACTTGTATGGGGTCTCCTGCTTGAGCAGAGGGTTGGACTAGAAGACCTCCAAGGTCCCTTCCAGCTGTGTTATTCTGCTTTGTTCTGATTCCATGCAAGATATACATTTATTTCTGCTCACACAGCACAGTTCTCTCCATAAAGATCACAAGCTGGAAGCAATGTGCTCTCCTGTGTTGTTTTTTGAAGCAAGGCCCATGCCTCTTCACCAGAAGGCTTCTGAGCTTCACAGAGAGTTAATAAATAGCATCCTGGTGAGCTGGTCTTCTACCAACCAAAGGTCTCCCACGTCATGCTGGCAAAAGCCCAAATCTGCCCCGTTCCCCACAGTTTCACCCCAATATCGACAAATACCTCCACCCACATCTTCCTCCACCTGTCCCTGCAGAGTTTGCTGGGACAAACATAACACCTTTTGATGCAAGTGCATTTTCTTGCTCTGATGTTCCCCCTGAAGGGGCTCACTGGGAGATGCAGTGACTGACCTGTTGATGAATTCTTCGTAGCAAGAATAAATGGCTGCTAAACAGACAGCAACGAGATTCGGAAGGACGCGTGGATGCGGACACTGACCAGTCGGGCCATGCATACTGGAATGAAGAGAGCAGGGATGTGAGACGGTGTATCCACGTTGTTAAGGCAGGAGCAAGCATAAAGTTTTAACAGAAGAGGATATCTGTAGCTCAGGCTTGAATTGAGGGGTCCCTGGGTGCTCTCTGAGGTTGGTGGTTTTCTTGCAGACGTTTCATGACCAAACTAGGTTATATCATCAATGCCAGAAGGGAATGGAGTGAGGAGGAGGAGGAGGAGGAGGAGGAGGAGGAGAACTATGGGATCTTTGCTGCTCTCTGAGCTTGATGGTTTTCTTGCAGAGGTTTCATGACCCAGCTGGGTAACATCATCAGTGTTAGAAGGGAGTGGGGTTGGGAGGAGGAGGAGGAGGAAGAGGAGGAGGAAGAGGAGGAGGACAACGACTATGGGATCCTTGTTGCTCTCTGAGCTTAATGATTTACTTGACCTAACATAGGAGTGAGTGTTGTGTTCTGTGGCGTATTCTACTAGTTGTTAATACATTATTGTTATTTGCTTCACTCTGTTTTGTTCTTTTAAGTTTCTGCTGGTCATTGACCAAGTAAACATTGATGGGATTCCATTTATTGGATTGAATAATTTATTCAATCAATTCAAATCAATTTATTTGAGTGATTCAATAATTTATTGATGAACGGAAATGAAACAGCACGGAAGTGGATCCTCACAGAATGAGAAGGTCTGCTAAAAATCAGTGTTTCTCAACCTTGACAATTTTAAGGCATGTGGACTTCAACTCCCAGAATTCCACAGCCAGCATTGCTGGCTGTGGAATTCTGGGAGTTGAAGTCCACATGCCTTAAAATTGTCAAGGTTGAGAAACACTGCTAAATTATAGGCCAATGTTGAGAGAAAACACCTTTTAAACTCATGGCAAAATGTTGGCTACCAAGACTGCTGGCAAGGAAAACAGTTGACGTGAAGCAAGGACGAATATCCTACAAAGGGACAGATTTTTCGACCTCACGCATATTTACCTGTGAATAAATTTCTTTACCACTTCCATGCCTGCATTCAGTTCATTCAAGGCCAGAATATACTCTTGGGTAAAAAGCCGCAACCGAGGACATTTACCAAAATCCTGTCCAAAAAAAAAGGAGATAGTTAAGATTTGGAAGTGCTAAGGCGTGGACTTTCAATAAGGATGTCTTGAGGAACGGAAAGTTTTAATCGGTGTTTATACAGGTATCTCTTGACTTACAACCATTAATTTAGTGATCATTCAAAGTTACAACGGCATTCATGGATACCTTTGAACTAGGCTGTGATGTTTCTCTGTGTCGTATATATGTGTGCATATGGGTATTTTGGGGGGAGCTGAATGCAACAAAATTTCATTTTTAATGTATGCTGATTAGTGTACATTTAAAGTGACAATAACATTTTTATTCTATTCTATTTCTATTCTGTTGAAAGAAGGGTCCTCCTTGTGACGGTCACAGCAGCCTCTGTCAGGTAAGCAAAATTTGAATTCTTGGCAACTGACATGTACTTGCCACAGTTGCAGCGTTCCAGGGACATGTGATCACCGTTTGTGAACTTTTCAGGTGGTTTCAGAGAAGGAAAGTCAATGGGAGAAGCCAGATGCTTTTAAACAACCGTGTGAATCGCTTTTAATTGCTTGCAAACTTCCACAGCTTTGAAGTTGCTGCTTGTAGATTTGGTGTTTGCGAAATGTTTCTTCCCCTGCTTGAATGAAACGTGGTCCAAGAGGAAAGTTTGCAAAAAGAATAAACATGCCAAACAGGGCCAGGCCAATTCTGAGGCAGAGAGAGGCAGCTGAATCAGCCAGCTGATTTTTTTAGATGTCACGAAACAGCAGCAAATTTGCTAGTTTATTGAATTTGCTGCTGTTGTGTTATTACAACACTGGTGAGCTCCACAGCTTCGGAGGCCAAGCTCAGTGGATACCTTCAGGCCATAGGTATCCTTGCTTTCCTTTGAACATTTGGGTCTTCGGTTTTACTTGGAAATAAGGCCCGCAGGGCTGATGGTGGGACACGCAGCAGTCTACATTGGTCCAACCAAATCTGCCACCGAACATTCTCCAGAGGTGGGAGGAACGTTTCTGTTCTTACCTGTAATGCATAGCTTGTTCTTTTTGTCCCAGTATCAAAATGAGGTAAGTTCTACGTATAAGTCTTCCCATTAAATAGTGCCTTGAAAACTTAACCGGTCCATGATTCGTTTTTTGAAAAAGGATGTTATTCTACAGTTGCTTTCTATGTTTTTCATTGTTCACCAAAGACAAAAAGGTAGCCTTTAGGAGGGGGACAAAACCCCCACAAACTTTCCCCAAATTTGCCTTTTTAGCTAAACAGGGAGATAGGCTTTCACTGAAGAATGAAGCCAAGTGTTTTAGGACCAGAGTAGTACCTCAGTACTCATCGTTAATTGGTTCCAGGAGGCACAATGAGTACCAAAAACGATGACAATTTTTCCCATAAGGAATAATGTAGTGAGTCACAAGGCAGCCGACAACGACAAGTTCTAGCTTGTGCATTGATTACCAAACAAATGAGGAGTACCGGGACAAAATGTTTGTGTCAAAATGCGTTGAGTACCAAATTTGATGAGCTTCAACGCAGTTGAGTACCAAGGTGCCGCTGTACCTGCTTCTTTGTTCCATAAATATGTCACATGGACATAACAGACCATCTAAAATAGCAGCATTTTGTGTAGAAAACTCTGAACCAAGACAACAAAACGATGGACTCACCATGTTATGTTTTAGGATTCTCTGTACCACTGGAGTGAACACTTCTATAACCACCATGGATCGCGGGCGTTCTCGGCAATGCTGCGTCAAAAGATTATTGTGTTTAAAAAGAGGCGAGAAGAAGCACAATCCACGGCCGCTAATAATCCCAATGCTTCTATTAATCTTAACAAGTTAAAAGGACCTTTCTTTTCTAACCATCAGTTTTATAAGGACTCTATTCCCCAATCTACTGGATAGATCTTTGTAAAGGGCTTCAAAAGTGTTTCTCAGTCAGG